TATTGTTGGTTTTATTTGGCTTGTTTTTTTGTCCTGATATAGTGGGTTGTTTTTTGAATTGTTTTAGCAGGTATGTGGGTTTTTGTTTTTGGCTTTTTTCAGCCTGAAATTTTGGGTTGTTTGGCTTGTTCCCCTCCCCGATAGTGTGTATTTTGGCTTTTTTCCAGTCCTGATAGTGGGTTATTGTGGCTTTTCCAGTCCCGATTTGTGGGTTGTTGTGGCTTGTTTCCAGCCTATTTTTTTTTTGGGAGTTTGGTTTTTTCCATCCGAATTTGGGGGGTTATTTGGCTTGTTCCAGCCTGTATTGTGGGTTAGTTTTGGGTTGTTTCCCGTCCAATATTGGGTTTTGTTTTTGGGTTGTTTCCTCCCGAAATTGTGGGTTAGTTGGGCTTGTTTCCTCCTGAATTTGGGGGTTTGTTTTTTAAATTTTTTTAGTCATGGAATTTTGGGTTTGTTGTGGCTTTTTCCATCTTTATATTGTTGGAGTTTTGGGTTTTTTCCAGTCCGATATTGTGGGTTATTGTGGCTTTTTCCATCCTGATATTGTGGGTAGTTTGGGTTGTTCAGTCCTGATATTTTGGGGTTTGTTTTTGGCTTTTTCCCGTCCGATATTGTGGGTTAGTTTTGAATTTTTTTTTATCATGGATTGTGGGGTTTTTTGTTTGGTTGTTCCAGTCTTGAATTTTGGTTAGTTTTGGCTTTTCATCCTCATATTGTGGGTTTGTTGTGGCTTGTTCCAGTCCCGATATTGTGGGGGAGTTTGGGCTTGTTCCAGTCCCAAAATTGTGGGTTTTTTTTGATTGTTTTTGTCAGGTTTGTGGGTTAGTTTGGTTGTTCCATCCCTGATATTGTGGGTTTGTTTTTGGCTGTTCCAGTCCTGAATTGTGGGTTGGGTTTTGGTTTGTTCCCCCTGATATTGTGGGTTTGTTGTGGCTTGTTTTCCGTCCTGATATTGTGGGTTAGTTGTGGCTTTTTCCATCCCCGATATTGTTGGTTAGTTGTGGCTTGTTTCATCCCATATTTTGGGTTTTGTTGTGGGTTTGTTTCCCGCCGATATTGGGGTTGTTGTGGCTTGTTCCCCTTCCCCGTATTGGGTTGTTTGGCTTGTTCCCCTGAATTGGGGTTAGTTGTTGCTTGTTCCCGTCCCGAATTTTGGGGTTATTTTGAATTGTTTTAGTCATGGATTTTGGGTTAGTTGGGGTTTTTCCGTCTTGATTTGGGGTTAGTTGTGGCTTGTTCCAGTCCCATATTTGGGGGGTTTGTTTTGGTTGTTCCAGTCGTGTATTGTGGGGGAGTTGTGGCTTGTTCGGGCGTGTTTGGGGTTAGTTGTGGGGTTGCCGTCCTGATATTGTGGGTTAGTTTTAATTTTTTTTTTAATCATGGTTGTGGTTTTTTGTGCTTTTTCCAGTCTTTAATTGGGTTTTTGTGGCTTTTCCGTCCTTAAATTTTGAGTTGTTGTGGCTTGTTCCCGTCCTGATATTGTGGGTTAGTTTGGCTTTTTTCCGTCCTGAAATTGTGGGTTAGTTTTTAATTGTTTTAGTCATGGGATTGTGGGTTATTTGTGGTTGTTTCCCGTCCTGAAAAAGTGGGGTTGTTTGGCTTTTTCCATTTCCCAATTGTGGGGTTAGTTGTGGTTGTTCCCGTCCTGATATTGTGGGTTAGTTTGGTTGTTTTTAGTCCTATATTTTGGGTTATTTTTGGGTTTTTCCAGTCCCGATATTGTGGGGTTTGTTTTTCTTTTCCGTCCTATATTGTAGGGTTAGTTGTGGGTTGTTCCCCGTCCTGATATTGTGGATTAAATTTGGCTTGTTCCAGTCCTGATATTGTGGGTTAGTTGTGCTTGTTCGTCCTGATATTTTGGTTTGGGTTGTGAATTTTTTAGTCATGTATTGTGGGTTAGTTTTGGGGTTTTTCCCCCTGAATTTGTGGTTTTGTTGTGGGTTTTCCCGTCTTGAAATTTTTTGGGGTTAGTTGTGGGGTTGTTCCAGTCCTGAATTTTTGGGGGAGTTGTGGCTTGTTTTAGCCTGATTTGTGGGTTAGTTGTGGCTTTTCCAGTCCTGATATTGTGGGTTAGTTGTGGGTTGTTCCGTCTAATTGTGGGGTTAGTTGGGGGCTTGTTCCTCCTGATATTGTGGTTAGTTGTGGCTTGTTCCTCCTGTATTGTGGGTTTTGTTTGAATTTTTTTAGTCATGGTATTGTGGGTTTTTGTGCTTTTTCCTCTTGAATTGGGGTTAGTTGTGGCTTGTTCCCGTCCTGATTTGTGGGTTAGTTGTGGCTTGTTTTAGCCTGATATTGTGGGGTTGTTTTTTAATTTTTTTTTAGTCATGGTTTGTGGGTTTTTTTGGCTTGTTCCGTCTTTAATTGTGGGTTAGTTGTGGCTTTTTCCGTCCTGATATTTTGGTTAGTTTTTGGGTTTTCCATCCGATATTTTGGGTTATTTTTGGGTTGTTCAGTCCTGATAGGGGTTTTGTTTGTGGCTTTTTTCCATCCTGATATTTTGGGGGGAGTTTTTAATTTTTTTTAGTCATGGATTGTGGGTTTTTGTGGCTTTTCCCTCTTGATTTGTGGGTTGTTTTGGCTTGTTCCCGTCCTATATTTTGGGTTAGTTTTGAATGTTTAGTCATGGTATTGTGGGTTATTTTTGGCTTGTTCCCGTCCGAATTTTTGGGGTTTGTTGGGCTTGTTTTCCCGTCCTAAAATTTTGGGTTTGTTGTGGCTTGTTTCAGTCCTGATTTGTGGGGTTTGTTGTGGTTGTTCCCGTCCTGATATGTGGGGTTGTTGTGGGTTGTTTTCCATCCCGAAATTTTGGGGGAGTTGTGGCTTGTTCCAGCCTGATATTGTGGGTTAGTTTGGGCTTTTTCCAGTCCTGATATTGGGGTTAGTTGGGCTTTTTTCAAAAATGATATTGTGGGTTTTTTGGCTTTTTCCAGTCCTTATTGTGGGTTTTGTTTTTAATTGTTTTAGTATGTTATTGTGGGTTATTTGGTTGTTCCAGTCTTGATTTGTGGGTTAGTTTGGTTGTTCCAGTCCTGAATTGTGGGGTTTGTTTTGGCTTGTTCCAGTCCTATATTGTGGGGTTAGTTTTTGTCTTTTTTCACCTGATTTTGTGGGTTTGTTTTTGGCTTGTTCCCCGTCCTGATATTGTGGGGTTATTTTGAATTGTTTTTGCATGGTATTTTGGGTTATTTGTGGCTTGTTTCCCGTCTTGTATTGGGGTTAGTTGGGCTGTTCTAGTCCTGATAATGTGGGGTTAGTTGGGCTTGTTTTCCCGTCCCATATTGGGGTTGGTGGGTTTTCCAGTCCTGATATTGTGGGGTTAGTTTGGGGTTGTTCCAGTCCTGATATTTTGGGTTATTTTTGGGTTGTTTCCCTCCCGATATTGTGGGGTTTGTTTGGGTTGTTCCCGTCCTGTATTTGGGTTAGTTGTGGGGTTGTTGCAGTCCCTATGTTGTGGGTTGTTGTGGCTTGTTCAGTCCTATATTGTGGGTTTTTGGGTTGTTCCAGTCCCGATATTTTGGGTTATTTGTGGCTTGTTCCAGTCCTGAATTGTGGGGATTGGGCTTGTTCCGTCCCGAATTGTGGGTTAGTTGTGGGTTGTTCCACCTGAAAGTGGGGGTTGTTTTGAATTGTTTTAGTCTGGAAATTTTGGGGGTTTGTTGGGCTTGTTCCAAAACTTGAATTGTGGGTTTGTTTTTGGGTTGTTCCAGTCCTGTATTGTGGGTTAGTTTGGGGTTGTTCCAGCCTGATATTGGGGTTTTTTGGCTTGTTTCAAACCCGTATTTGGGTTAGTTGTGGCTTTTCCGTCCCGAATTGTGGGTTAGTTTTGATTGTTTTAGTCAGGATTGGGGTTATTGGGCTTGTTCCAGTCTTGATATTGTGGTTAGTTTGGCTAGTTCCAGTCCGATATTGGGGTTAGTTGTGGCTTGTTCCCGTCCCCATATGTGGGTTAGTTGTGGCTTGTTCCAGTCCTGATATTGTGGGTTATTTTAATGTTTTAGTCATTGGTATTGTTGGTTAGTTGTTTTTGTTTTCCCGTCCGATATTGTGGGTTTGTTTGGCTGTTCCCTCTGATTTGGGGTTTGTTTGGGGCTTGTTCCCTCCTGATATTGTGTTTAGTTTGGGTTGTTTCCCTCCCGATATTGGGGTTATTGTGGGGTTTTTCCGTCCCGATATTGTGGGTTAGTTGTGGGGGTTTTTCCAGTCCTATATTGTGGGTTAGTTGTGCTTGTTCCAGTTGTATTGGGGTTAGTTTGGTTTTTTCCAGTCCCGTATTGTGGGGTTGGTTTTGGTTGTTTCAGTCCTGATATTGTGGATTTTTGTGGCTTTTTTCCAGTCCCGTATTGTGGTTGAGTTTTGAATTGGTGTGTTTCAAAAATTTTTTGATTTGTTGCATTAGTTAAGCCCACATTACGATATATTCAGCCCACACTTACGTATATTCACCCCCACTTACGAAAATTAGGGCCCACACTTACGATATATTCAGCCCACACTTTTCAAATAGAACTTCCACTTTCAGAATTGAATCACACTTCGATAGATAGAACTTCCACTTACGATAGATTGAAAACCCCCACTTACATAATTTATCTTAAATCGTGAAAAGAATAACTATTTTTTGGCCCCAAAATTGACAAAAAAATTCAGATTGTATTGGAAAATCTATTTTAAAGTATAGATTGTAATTCTATTGTAAATTCTATTGTAAACTCTTAAATTTTATTGTAAATTACCTTCTTTTGCAGTAAATGAGATAATTTGGTTAATATTTTTAGCTGATGTTTGAAAAAATCTCTCTCTCTCTCTCTCTCTCTCTCTCTCTCTCTCTCTCTCACTCTCTCTCTCACTCTCTCTCTCTCTCTCTCTCTCTCTCTCTCTCTCTCTCTCTCTCTCTCTCTCTCTCTCTCTCTCTCTCTCTCTCTCTCTCTCTCTCTCTCTCTCTATATATATCTCATTCTTATTCTCTTTCCTACTACACTAATGATCTCCTCTATTTTCAGGAACTAGAGCTGAGAATAGAGACACAGAAGCAGACTCTAGCAGCTAGAGATGAGAGTATTAAAAAGCTCTTAGAGATGCTCCAGCAGAAAGGAATAGGTGAGTTACCCTCAGCGCCCGCTCCGCCTGGTTCCAATATTCTCTCTTCTCTTGCCTACTGACTTCCTTTAAACTCTTTTGAAAAGCTGTAAACACGATGTTTTGTGTTTTCAAATATGTCAGTGTCTCAAGGACAGGTTTAGATGTGCCTCTAAGTAATTTAGATGTTGATATAGGCTTGTGGTAGGTCTAGAGGAAGTTTAGAATTTGTATGATTGGTTTAATGAGGTTTAAAGTCTGTCTACTACACCACTAACCAACCAGTCTAAATGACTGGTTGGTTAGTGGGGTTGAAGTCTATCTACTACACCAGGTTCATTTACACTGGTTGGTTAATGGAGTTTAGGGTCTATCTACAACGCAATGGTCATTAAGACTGGTTGATTAATAGGGCTTAAAGCCTATTACACCAAGGTCATTAAGACTGGTTGGTTGGTTAATGGGTTTAAATTCTATCTATTACACCAGGGTTATTATGGTTGGTTGGTTACTGGGGTTTAAATTCTATCTACTACATCATGGTCATTAAGACTGGTTGGTTGGTTAATGGGGTTTAAATTCTATCTACTACATCATGGTCATTAAGACTGGTTGGTTGGTTAATGGGGTTTAAATTCTATCTACTACACCAGGGTCATTAAGGCTGAATGCCAACTGTATACTTCTCAGTGTACATACACTGTGTATACATTCAGTAAAGTGAGGGATAACTGTTAAAATGTCAAGCAAAAATTTAGGCATAACAGAGTTAAATTGACTGTGTATTTAGGTATTACTATATTAAATTATTAGTATATACATATAACTACGTTATATTATTAATATTTAGGTATAACTACGTTATATTATTAATATTTAGGTATAACTACGTTATATTATTTAGGTATAACTACGTTATATTATTTAGGTATAACTACGTTATATTATTAATATTTAGGTATAACTACGTTATATTATTAATATTTAGGTATAACTATATTAAATTATTAATATTTAGGTATAACTACGTTATATTATTAATATTTAGGTATAACTACGTTATATTATTTAGGTATAACTACGTTATATTATAGGTATAATACGTTATATTATTTAGGTATAACTACGTTATATTATTAATATTTAGGTATAACTACGTTATATTATTAATATTTAGGTATAACTACGTTATATTATTTAGGTATAACTACGTTATATTATTAATATTTAGGTATAACTACGTTATATTATTAATATTTAGGTATAACTACGTTATATTATTAATATTTAGGTATAACTATGTTATATTATTAATATTTAGGTATAACTACGTTATATTATTATAGTTGCTATTTTCATTGACAAATCACTGACTTAGGCCTATTTAGGTTTTATATTTTATTAAACATTTTAAATGAGGCCTATATAGGCAGTGTTTTATATTTTAAACACTCATTTAGGCCTATCTAGGCAGCTTTGTTTTATTAAATACTGATGCTCATTTAGGCCTATGTAGGCTGTGTTTTATAAACCACAGAATGGTTTTTCAGGTAAGGATCTAAGTGGTTTTTATGACTGTTTTATGATATGGTTTAAGATCACTGATAAACCAGAATTTTGATAATCTGGTTTATTTATAAACCAGAATTTTGATAATCTGGTTTATTTATAAACCAGAATTTTGATAATCTGGTTATTATAAACCAAATTTGATAATTGGTTTTTTATAACAGAATTTTGATAATCTGGTTTATTATAAACCAGAATTTGAAAATCTGGTTTATTACTCTTTTATGGGTTTTAATTTTTTTCGTTTTTCTGTTTTTTTTTCTCCCGGTATTTCTGTTTCCTGTTTTTTTTTTATCTTTTCCGTTTTTCCTGTTTTAGCTTTTTCCGCTTTTTTCTGTTTTTTTACTCTCTTTTATTTTTTCCTGTTGTTTCCCTATTTTTTCCGTTTTTCCTCTGTTTTTCCCCCTGTTTATTCATTTTTTCCGTTATTCCTCCTGTTTGTTTTTTCCTTTTACCATTTATTTCTGTTTTGCCTGTTCTTCCTTTTTTTCTGTTTTTTCTTTCTTTTACTGTTTTTCCCGTTTTTCCCGTTTTTCCCGTTTATCCATCTGTTTGTCCCTCCTATTTAATCAGTTATTTTTAACATAACCCTAATAGGCCTATATAACCCTGCACTATCATTAGCAGAATTTTAATAGGCCTTCCTATCCTGTTTTGCTATTGTTAGCAGATTCTGCATAGGCCTAAATCCTGTTGATATATATTTGACTGGCCCCATTGATAGGCCTCTCCCTGCTATTGTTAGTGGTTCCCAAATAAGCTTACTACTATCAATCAGGTACTGAGTAGGCCTACTCCTATTAGCACTGTCCAACAGAGGCCTACCCTTATTAACAGTAGCACCATGTCCCAGATAAGCCTATCCTCACTTCTCACTTTTATGACTTAGAAACAGGTAGGCCTACTCTTGTGCCTGCATTAGCAGCAAAGCCTGTATAAGCCTGTTCTTATAAGCCTCTTCTCAGAGCCAGGGTTAGGCTAGGCCTAACCCTGGCATGATAACATGTTCTTGGGCTCTTGCTAGGCCTAACCTGTCATATGGTGACATGTTATCATGCCCTCAGTAGACCTACTCATGTCGCGATTGTTAGCAGGTCCCAAATAGGCCTAATTTAATATTAGCAAAGCCTATATAGCTTACTACATACACCTTTAGCATAGGTTCTAGATAAGCCTACTTCTAACATTGCTAGCAAATGCTGCCTAGGCCTCCATCCCAGATAGGCCTACCTCTATAGCATTGTTAGCAAATTTGGATAGTGTGAGTCCCAAGTAGGCCTACCTCCTTAACATTAGCCAATCCTTCGTAGGCTCTCATGTAATATTGTTGGTGTAGGTCCCAGATAGGCCTATCTCAAACATTTTTAGCATATCCTGAATAGGCCTCCCAGATAAGTCTATTATGTAATAGTGTTTGTACGGCTCAAAGATAGGCCTACCTCTAACATTATATATCCTGCCTAGGCCTCCATATAATAGTGTTAGGCTGGGTCACAGCTAGGCCTACCTCTAACATTGTATATCCTGCCTAGGCCTCCATATATAGTGTTAGGCTGGGTCACAGCTAGGCCTACCTCTAACATTGTATATCCTGCCTAGGCCTCCATATAATAGTGTTAGGCTGGGTCACAGCTAGGCCTACCTCTAACATTGTATATCCTGCCTAGGCCTCCATATAATAGTGTTAGGCTGGGTTACAGCTAGGCCTACCTCTAACATTGCATATCCTGCCTAGGCCTCCATATAATAGTGTTAGGCTGGGTCAGAGCTAGGCCTACCTCTAACGTTGCATATCCTGCCTAGGCCTCCATATAATAGTGTTAGGCTGGGTCACAGCTAGGCCTACCTCTAACATTGCATATCCTGCCTAGGCCTCCATATAATAGTGTTAGGCGGGGTCACAGCTAGGCCTACCTCTAACATTGTATATCCTGCCTAGGCCTCCATATAATAATGTTAGGCTGGGTCACAGCTAGGCCTACCTCTAACATTGTATATCCTGCCTAGGCCTCCATATAATAGTGTTAGGCTGGGTCACAGCTAGGCCTACCTCTAACATTGTATATCCTGCCTAGGCCTCCATATAATAGTGTTAGGCTGGGTCACAGCTAGGCCTACCTCTAAACATTGTATATCCTGCCTAGGCCTCCATATAATAGTGTTAGGCTGGGTCACAGTTAGGCCTACCTCTAACATTGTATATCCTGCCTAGGCCTCCATATAGTAGTGTTAGGCGGGGTCACAGTTAGGCCTACCTCTAACATTGTTTATCCTGCCTAGGCCTCCACATAATAGTGTTAGGCTGGGTCACAGCTAGGCCTACCTCTAACATTGTATATCCTGCCTAGGCCTCCATATAATAGTGTTAGGCTGGGTCACAGCTAGGCCTACCTCTAACATTGTATATCCTGCCTAGGCCTCCATATAATAGTGTTAGGCTGGGTCACAGCTAGGCCTACCTCTAACTTGTATATCCTGCCTAGGCCTCCATATAATAGTGTTAGGCTGGGTCACAGCTAGGCCTACCTCTAACATTGCATATCCTGCCTAGGCCTCCATATAATAGTGTTAGGCTGGGTCACAGCTAGGCCTACCTCTAACATTGCATATCCTGCCTAGGCCTCCATATAATAGTGTTAGGCTGGGTCACAGCTAGGCCTACCTCTAACATTGCATATCCTGCCTAGGCCTCCATATAATAGTGTTAGGCTGGGTCACAGCTAGGCCTACCTCTAACATTGTATATCCTGCCTAGGCCTCCATATAATAATGTTAGGCTGGGTCAAAGCTAGGCCTACCTCTAACATTGTATATCCTGCCTAGGCCTTCATATAATAATGTTAGGCTGGGTCACAGCTAGGCCTACCTCTAACACTGTATATCCTGCCTAGACCTCCATATAATAGTGTTAGGCTGGGTCACAGATAGGCCTACCTCTAACATTGTATATCCTGTCTAGACCTCCATATAATAGTGTTAGGCTGGGTCACAACTAGGCCTACCTCTAACATTGTATATCCTGCCTAGATATCCATATAATAGTGTTAGGCTGGGTCACAGCTAGGCCTACCTCTAACATTGTATATCCTGCCTAGACCTCCATATAATAGTGTTAGGCTGGGTCACAGCTAGGCCTTCCTCTAACATTGTATACCCTGCCTAGACCTCCATATAATACTGTTAGGCTGGGTCACAGCTAGGCCTACCTCTAACATTGTATATCCTGCCTAGACCTCCATATAATAGTGTTAGGCTGGGTCACAGCTAGGCCTACCTCTAACATTGTATATCCTGCCTAGACCTCCATATAATAGTGTTAGGCTGGGTCACAGCTAGGCCTACCTCTAACATTGTATATCCTGCCTAGGCCTCCATATAATAGTGTTAGGCTGGGTCACAGCTAGGCCTACCTCTAACATTGTATATCCTGCCTAGGCCTCCATATAATAGTG